TTGTTATGTGGAGGGCTGGAGATTGGGTGGGGTACTGGGTACTTAACTTGTGATGTGGAGGGCTGGAGATTGGGTGGGGTAATTAACTTGTGATGTGGAGGGCTGGAGAATGGGTGGAATACTTGGTAATTAACTTGTGATGTTGAGGGCTGGAGATTGGGTGGGGTACTGGGTAATTAACTTGTGATGTGGAGGGCTGGAGATTGGGTGGGGAACTGGGTAATCAACTTGTGATGTGGAGGGCTGGAGATTGGGTGGGGTACTTGGTAATTAACTTGTGATGTATAGGGATAGAGATTGGGTGGGGTACTTGGTATTTCACTTGTGATGTGGAGGGCTGGAGATTGGGTGGGGTACTTGGTAATTCACTTGTGATGTAGAAGGCCGGAGATTGGGTGGGGTACTAGGTAATTAACTTGTGATGTGGAGGGCAGGAGATTGTGTGGGGTACTTGGTAATTAACTTGTGATGTGGAGGGCTGAAGATTGGGTGGGGTACTGGGTAATTAACTTATGATGTGGAGGGCTGGAGAATGGGTGGGGTACTTGGTAATTAACTTGTGATGTGGAGGGCTGGAGATTGGGTGGGGTACTTGGTAATTCACTTGTGCTGTATAGGGCTGGAGATTGGGTGGGGTACTTGGTAATTAACTTGTTATGTGGAGGGCTGGAGATTGGATGGGGTACTGGGTAATTAACTTGTTATGTGGAGGGCTTGAAATACTTTTCTTTGTTACAATCAGAATAAACTTTTGTTTCTTTTTTTTTATCAAGATATATTTTTATGAAAATAGAATGGTTTTGAAAGAGTCAGTTATCAAAATTATGATAAAGTTTCTAATATTTCAATATCTCTTGATAAAATATCCGCAGTTCAAATATCTTTGAATTTTATGGGAGTCAGTGTTTCTTGAGTTTCTTGATCAAGAAATAGTATTTTCAATTTTGGGATGATGTTTTATCTGAGTTTTAATTATAATTTCTATAACTCAATGCGTATATTAATTTCCTAATGCTAGAGTTACTGTTGCACCCATGGCCACCAAAGCTAGATCCCAAACTTGCCAGGACATGATAATCCTTGGAAATATTTTCCCGTAAAAAATACAACATAAATTCCGAAGATTCTTCTTCACAGTTGATCAATACAGAACTCCGCTCCTTGTAGGACTGAAGGTGACATATTAAGGTAGACTGTTACCGCATGATATATTGATCAGAGACCTAGCCAGGATGCCAACAGTTTGTCTGCTGGACATTTTATATATATATTGTCTGTAGCTTAAGGTTGTAAAAATGTAAAAGTTTTACTGCAGTACGACAAAGAGCTGTACATAAAATCAATTTCTAGACGCTTGTCATATCATAAATGCATCATATGTAAGTGAAGATATTATACTCTTAACTCGGACAGGTTTCCCTTAGCTTGCATCTCTATTTGGGTGTTGTGCTTCTTTCGGTATACCTAATGTATGAACATATACTGTGACCTTTTCTGAAAAATCAGGTTGTCCTTTTTTATTAGCTGGCTATTTTAATGGGGTCCTTTTCCGATTTTCAAGACTTCAAAACGATATATTGATTGTATCAATGAGAACCTAGTGTTGGGAATCGGTTGAAATTTTATGAACGATCATTGGTTACCATTAACCAAGCGATGATCGATTAATAATTGTTTCATAGAAATACATAGTGGAATCCTCCATGCTGTTGTTGCGAGTCACTAAAGGCAAATAAGAAAGAGATACCATGTAATTAACTAATTATAATATAAGAAATAGCTCTCTTCAAACACTGAATCTGTTATATATAGTCCTAACTAGCAGCCATGAGCTAAAAGTAAGTCATGCAGTGACGCATGATACCAGCAATTTTACAATTAGTAGCTAGGAAAAAGTCTTCTGAAAACTCCAGTATATCTACACATTAGCATTCCGAATAAAATCGATCATGGATTTTGTACGCGATTAATCAGTTTGTTAGCCTAACTGACCGATTCTCGACTTTGTCGATTAATCAGTTTGTTAGCCTAACTGACCGATTTTCGACTTTGTCGATTAATCAGTTTGTTAGCCTAACTGACCGATTCTCGACTTTGTCGATTAATCAGTTCATTAGCCTAACTGACCGATTCTCGACTTTGTCGATTAGTCAGTTCGTTGGCCTAACTGACCGATTCTCGACTTTGTCGTTTAATCAGAACAACACTATCAGAGGACCTCAATTTATACACTGGTCAATTGCAAGTGCTACATTTTGCTTGTGAGTATTAGTTTTGAACTAATTATGTCATTTTTATGGAGATACGATCGCCAATATAAATCATCCTAGAGGCTAGTTTGTGATATAATTATAGAACAGTAGCTGAAAAATATTTTTGGAGTTGAGTTAGCGGATGTTCTACAGTGATGTTGCTTGTTAACAACAGTGTTGACCGATTCCTTGCGAGTTTTGCTCCTGTTTGCTGTAACACTACTGTAACTGTAGGGGATACGTAGGGCGTTACATGCACTGTAACATGTAATATGGTGTAGAAAACTTATTGATTCTGTAACATATAGTTATTGAGTTTTCATTTCAGTGTTCTTGATTTCACTGGCAGTCAATCGTGTCAAAATTAAGGTGGTGTAAAATAGTTACAGACTAGCTGTGTTTCTATTGGTTCAGAAGAAAGCCTGTCCCCCTACTTTGGGTTACATAGATTATGTGCTAGCAAAATGAGATTACCGCAGGATATCGATGTGACCTGATCGAGACCTTAACATGATTTGGAATTGACATTGTACAGTGTATCTTGTGCAAAATTTAAATGAATTTATGCCCAAATGTGATATTACTTTAAGTCACTTGTGTTTTTTCCCAATGTATATAGTTCACATTGCGATTACTTGTGAAAATAAATAGATCTTGCAATATTTCCACTGACAGATAAATTAACACAAGGGATTTATAATTACAGTGCGTTATTTTTTATCATACAACATTTTACCAGATTCAAATATTAAGTTGTTTGAAGCGTGGATCATGATAATGGATATTCTTACAAATTGACTGATATAATTGATTACTATTCTACATTCACGGTAGGTGCAAGGTGTTTTGACACAACTTCTACAGGCAATGCATAGACTTCCCCATTGATGATTCTTCCTGTAAATATTTTGATCGGTCATCATTCATCCTACCATGTATTGGAACTCCATATAGCTTGTGACAGAGGTCATGATCCCCTAAGGCCTTCGCCTAATTATGTGTAATCTTACTTGTAAATTTCTCTCTCATCTTACCTGTAACTTACCTGTGATTTACCTTTGACAGGTAGGAATTCGGGTCAGAACTCCCTGTAGGATAAGAGATTATTTTATGGACATTTATCTCACTTTCAACAGTATAAACACAGAGGCTTGGTGTTGGGGATTTTTACGTCTTTATTGCTGGGATGTATTCTACTGAATATGAAATCAACGATTAATGATTTATAGCTTAGCCTTCATTTAAATATCCGAATGAATTGTAGACAATCGGAATCATACAGGAATATATTTTCATGTAACACAAGAATCAGGTAAGGTAATTGATAATATTTAATGAATTTTCTTTTCTTGTTTTATATCAGAATTTATATGAAAGAGTTTATAAATTTGGGTGTTTTTTTGTGGTCAAGATTTTTACTATACAGCCTTTCTCTGGAAGATTTTCTAAAACTAAGTGGTTGTTTTTATTTCAGTAATTTTTCTTAAATTCTTAAATTCGCCTGTTATAATTTAATTTGTATTACAAATCTAGCAGAATCTGTCTAAAAGTTATGATAAGTAAATCATTGCTGTATGAGACATACAAAACCATTAGTTAATATATATATGTCTGACCCACAACTGATTATTGATAATTACTATCATCAGGATTTACATTCATGAAAATCTAAACCTCTACAGGTCTTCGAATTCAAAGCATTTAATCTAAACATGTAGCTATTTTTAGCCCGAATCAAACACATTTTACTTTTAGTTTTATTTTAAAACGTATGAAATGAATACATTTGTATGGGCATCATCAAATTTACTGAAGGAAGAACATATATATACTTACACAGAATGACTTATAGACAAGTTATAATTTCACCATGTACAGGCTCTGAGATAAAACGTATCTTTACAATTATTGGAAGATCCTGTTTAAAGGCCAATACAATCTCCTCCGACAGTGTGGAGTCGATCTGGCTAAGGTTCAGATGCTGCTCTAGATCTCTGGGCTGACAGAACGTTTAAACACCCAAAAATGTATTATGTTGAACAAGCTGAAGATGATAAGACATAAAGAAAATGTTTGTGCATTAAAATTGTCTTGATCATGCAAATTTCTTTAGACATTATGTTGTGACTCAATCTATTTCCATCGGTTTGAAATGCTGTAGTGTAGGAGCCTGAGTTGTGTTGTAAACTACATTTAAAACAATTAAGATATTACAATGTATACTTGTACAGGATTCAGTAAGTGTTTCACTATTGCATGAAATCAAAGCTATATAGTTTTTGGCGGTCATGATCTTGATTAATCCTTGCTGTTACTGTCTCACAACTGAGATCTCATGTGTTTCGTTCATTTGTGCATCTGTCGTTCTGTTTAGGATGTTTGCTACACTGACACACATAGGTAGCAAGGAAATGGAAACATTAGTCGACTTGGCCTTGGGCAACATTGTTTCTGGTTGTAAAACCTGGGCACTGCTTGCATGGATGACTCTGCTTTATTGTAGATCAGTGAATAATTTAAGCCCCAGGTCATATTTCATGCGAAAATAAATCAAACCTTTGGCTGAACTTACTTTATTTCTCTGATCAATAGATTATATTTTGCCTCCTATGAATTTCATTGTCTCCCCTCGAAATAACCTACCGTATGCTGGGAAGTGAGTTTTTGCAACTTTAATCTATTGCTGTAGTTTAAAAAAAAGCCAATCTACAGACACTTTCTCAAACTAACCCATCTTTCTTCTTTCAGATTGGTCCATTTCACCATAGTCCATGCCGATCTAACAAGTAGAGTCATCCAAGCATCTGAGTGATTCAGCTGAATTCAAAGTATCCTAGTGATTAAGAGTTGGATTTTGAAGTTCTGTTGAAGCACATCTCTGTGGATATTAATCAATCTTCTCAGTGATAAAGGTGGATTTAGGATTCATACAGTGATTTATAAAGTACTGTGAGACAACACACAGAATTGTTGTTGAATAAGTTTGGATTAAAATTTCTCAGTTGTGGAATTTTTGAATGAATACACCTGTTTTTGACAGGTGATAAGCAACAGAATTTTGACTTGTTAGTGTTTTGTTACACAAACATCATGAGTGTTAACGGCCAAAGCAGCCTGCCTACGAATCATGTTGAGCTTTATGTTCGTGCTGGAAAGGATGGAGAATGTTTAGGGGCATGTATAAACTGCCAACGATTCTACATGATTTTGGACAGGAAGGGAAAAGCAGGAGAGCTGACTTTTGATGTCATCACAATCAACATGGCCCGCCCACCAGCAGAGTTTAAGAAATTGGCCAACCGACTTCCAGTCTTAAAACATGGCGATGAAATATTGTCTGATAATGATGAGATTGTGCAGTACATTGATGAGAACTTTCCGTACCCAGGTTTGAGATATGACAACATGCTTGCTCATAGCGTGTGTTTAGATATCTTCTCCAAGTTTTCCTTCTACATTAAGCAGGTGAGCCACGGTCCTGAGAACCTCCTAAAGGAATTACAAGCAATTAACGACTACCTGGAGGGTGTGGATTCTCTTTACCTTTGCGGTAATGAGTTAAAACACCTCGACTGCTTGATGCTTCCAAAGTTGCAACATATTCGTGTCGCAGCCAAGGCATTTAAGGATTTTGACATCCCTGCAGATATGGTTGGACTTTGGAGATATCTTAAGAATGCTTATGCAGATGATACCTTTCGCAAATCATGCCCTTCTGACCAGGAAATTGTTCATTTCTGGGAATCCAAACCTGAGACACCCAAACTGTCTGAAGAGAAGAAGCGGGAATATGGCACAGATGGATATGCAGAGCCAAAGTACTCTTTTGATGTCCCTCAGTAAAGCCAATAGGTCCACAGTTTCCAAAACTTTATTCAGCTTAGCTTTCCTCCCATGAAAAAGCACCTTATGGACTGTTTCGTATATATCTAAATGAATTCATTTAAGGAATGGTGGTGTTAGCAGCATGGAGCTATATTCCTTGAATCACACCTTAAACTGAGTTCTATATCAGCAGGTTTAGCATCTGGAGTACCTTTATTTGTATCAACATTTATGATAGGGGTGTTAATATTACTGTATTTCGTTACCAGGAGTATCACAAAATGCCAATGTATAATCTATATGTCAGTGTGGGGTGATTTGTGAGAGCTTCAAAAAGACAAAGTGACAAGGAATGTTTTGATAGATAACCGGCAAGTTTTGTTTATTATCAAATGATCATATGCTGACATCTTAATGATTCCTTGCATATTTTTTGCAAGGCTTTTAAAAATATAATTTTCACAGTTTTATGATATTTATTTAAGAAAATACAAGTATTTTGTTGCTAGTCTAAGGGACAAAAACATATTTATGATCAAAGATTATATGCCTGTATAGCTTTCTGAATTATCGGTACAGTTTTGTATGGAAAAATAGATGTGATATGCCTATCAAAATTTATTTGTTTCGCATAAAACTGTCAATAGCTTTAGAAACAACGTGACCTGAAATTTGTGCGAAAGGATAAACGTATCTGTATTCAAAATGGCCAATTAGGGCTAGATGTTAGATTGTGAAACTATTTAAGTAATAGGCAGTGTGGTGTGACTAGTGTTTTGGATGCATTATGTATACCATAAATTAAATGTATCGGTAATCGGTACTTATCGAAGGTTTTAAAGGGGAAATCCAAGTGTCCAGCTGAATAAGATTTTACTGATGAAGAGTCTTGGTAATATGGGCGGTAACTGTTGTCACCATGCTAGTCTTTGTCATCTGCTGATCAATATGCACACTTTTACCTTAATTCTAAGTCAATTATTGCCAAAAAGTCATAGGGGAGATAACTCCCTTTGAATATTGTTTTTGTTATCTATACAGGTATGTAAGAGTGTGTCTTGTCCAAATTTATGCAATGTATATTTTGTCAACTCCAGACAAAAACAATGCAAGCTTGTATTAAGTATTAACAATTCCTTTGTTTACCAGCTGTTTTGCATTAGTTGAAGCATTTTGTAGTAGAGTTTTTTCATGTGTATATCTTTTTGTAATTTGGAAATTGCCATACTCGTGAAAACAGATGCATGTTATATAACCTGAACAGGTATATACATGTAGTATACCTAAGTGGTACAGCAAGCCTGAAATGACCAGAATATTGTGAAACAATGATAAGAACACTAGTATTTAGATTTTTAAATCACTTTCAGGATACCTATTATACTTGTTATAATATTTTCACACTTTTCATGCTAAATCGAAAGCACTAAATTATGATAACTGCTGTACACAGTACAATCACTGTTAGTGTTTTCCTGTAAACATGCTAGTAATATCTCTATCGCTATATATAGCTTGTTAAATTGCCTTGATGAACAGAACATAGTAGTTCTCATATAGAAGTATATATATCTTGTATAGCTTTTCCTCTTCCTATTTGTTCTTTATCCTAATTTTATATCATTACATGCTATTTTTTCCCCAATAAAATTATAACATTTTAGAATAAATTACAAACCTTTATATTTATACGAAATTAAATAAGAATTTACAATACAGTACTTATAAAAAAAAAAAAAAAAAAAAAATATATATCAGAAAATTCTTATTTCATGTATGAAGTAAATACAAGAATATAATAATCTAAATAAACAAATGGTTATGTTTTATCTATAAAAATGTGAATTATTTTCGTGACAGGATCTAATACAGGTACATATATATCTTTATTATAACACCATGGAATATGTTGAAACAATAATGCAATTAAAGTAAAATGGATTGATTTGATCACGGAAATGTTCTTGGTTTAATTTACCATGCCAAACATGACTCATGACTCATCTAACAGCAAATTTTGTTATCTTAATTTCATTTTCTCTGAGGCTATTTTAGAACAAGTGTTGGTCTCATTAAAACACTCCAGTACAGTGGATTGGAAAGCATGGTCTTCTTACAATTTTGTATCAAGGTACATTTAAGATATTCTTGTAATAAGGATAAACATACTCCTAACTATTTATGATGCATGTTTTGACTCATTCACCCCTGAAATTTTATAATGAACTATTCCAACCTTTGATTTGGAAGACTTCAAATGAGTCTTGAGGGGTGAATGAGTTAAGATAATAATTATTGAGAAAAAAATAATGTTAAAATGTTTTTGATACTACGACTTCTGCTTTTGTTTAAAATGTTCTTAGAGAATGTCAAACAATCTTAAGCATGTCACACACTTTACACAGAACTGTATTTAGGCTGTTATCCTGGGACATGTATGTCAAGGTATCACTCTTTATCGCCATACATAAATCATAGTATACATTTAATAATATATTTCAATGTTGCAATTTCACATATTTTGGTGGACTGATTGCAGATTTAATTCCAAAAAATATATTGTTGTAAGATGTCCTATTGGAAAATGCTTGAAATGTTTTAGTTGAATTATCTTGTAAGATGTTTCATTGGAGAATGCTTGAATTTGTTTTGGTAGACATCCAAATGCCAAATAAGGTTTGTCAGAGTTGTCTTCCCCTTAAAATAACAGGATCTGATAAAAGGGAGGTAAATCTCATTTAATCACTGACCTAGTGTTGTTAAACAAGTCTGTGGTCACTTTATATATTGTCCTTCTTATGCTGCCAAGATTGTGTCGTTGTTTTACATTAAATTTATCATGCTCACTCACATTAGCAGTACAACAATGTGTAAGTCTGCTATGGTAACCTAGGGATTACCGAGGCCAGTTGGAGTGAAATGCTTTGAAGGTTCAGCTAAGTAATAAGTATCTGTTGACTTTTATAGAAGTATTTTCTCCTCAACAGAGTTTTTTGCTGAATTCTACTTTTGACTTGAAGCTGTAAAAACTGATGAGTTTTTTAATGTTTTAAATGTTGGAGCAGGATTGTCTTTTGGGATGCTTAAATTTACCACACCCTAGATCTGTCACTTGATACATTTTGTCAGTTTCTTACATTTCAGTTATGTATATTCTTGCCAATTTTAATGTTTATATACACCTAATTGTTTTAATACTTGGTTGTGGATTTTTTTGTCCTACTTCCATCAATCTTGTGTACAAAATTTTGATCTGTTGGAACTATTATTAAATTGCTATTGTATTTGTATGGTGTAATTTTGCCTGGTAAGGTCTATACATATACATATATATATGGTGTATATTGTTTTTAAAGGTTGTATAATTTCTTTATATATACATGTAACTATGTATCCTTATAATAATATTTGGTAGTCAGCTGTCATGTAATTGGTTTTTTTTATTTTTTTTATTTGTTAGTTATTTGTATCACATTTTTTTTAATTATTTTAAATGCTGGTATGCAAATTATATATGACACAGTGTACAGTGAGAATACAAAGATTGGAAGGTTTGGTTAGTGTTGATGTCTCTCCATGCCCAGTTGAAGTTAAAAATGCAACAGTTGCATTAATATTGAGACCGAACTTTAAAAAGCCAACGCCTTTTTGAACGGTGATACATTGTTACCTTAAATAGAGTGAATAGCATTGTGCTCCATATATATCATCTGCGTTCAAAATAAGTTTGGTATGATTTGTGAAAAAGTGTGACACAATAACAAGAAGCAGTTTTATGAAATGACTATTGATAGGATATTATCTGAGAAAAATCAGCAATATTCCAATCAAATAAGTTTTCTTCGCACATGTAGTACAGTTGATGCTAAATTAAAATTTCTTTATCACATAACCTTTTAAAAAATGAGTACTGATGATTGTAAATCACAATTAATCAATGTGTCAATTGAAAACAATTTTTCGATGTCAAGCCTTATTATTTTTTGTATTCTGAAACATTTATGACTGTACGTTTATCGGCTGTTTTATTTTAAGAGAATCAGAATTTTAATATGTTTGTTCATTAGCATTTGTTAATTTAGTCATGTTAACCATTGTTCACTAGATACATGATATCTGAAAGTCTGCACTTTAAACCAATGTTGTTTTACTCTACAAACTCAATCTGCTGGTTTTACCATTCTTGTTTTACTTTCTTCAAAACGGTTCACAAAAGCAATTCACAATGTCAAAGATCGTCACAAAAACAGCAAATTATTTTTGATGTATTTTTTCGTCTTTTACCGATATGTTTGTTTATGGAGACACCTGTCCTCATATATGACCCTGACTGTTTATGGAGACACCTGTCCTCATATATGACCCTGTTTGTTTATGGAGACACCTGTCCTCCTATATGACCCTGTTTGTTTATGGAGACACCTGTCCTCATATATGACCCTCTTTGTTTATGGAGACACCTGTCCTCCTATATGACCCTGACTGTTTATGGAGACACCTGTCCTCCTATATGACCCTGTTAGTTTATGGAGACACCTATCCTATATGACCCTGACTGTTTATGGAGACACCTGTCCTCCTATATGACCCTGACTGTTTATGGAGACACCTGTCCTCCTATATGACCCTGACTGTTTATGGAGACACCTGTCCTCATATATGACCCTGACTGTTTATGGAGACACCTGTCCTCCTATATGACCCTGACTGTTTATGGAGACACCTGTCCTCATATATGACCCTGACTGTTGCTGTAAGGACGTTAAACCACAAACAAGCATTTATAAAGCATTGTGTTATGGTCTGTTTTTACCTGTTTTACAAATACAAAGAATATATGTTTACAAGAGAAAGCTTGGAGTTCCAAATTAATTATTAGAAAATATCCAGATGTTAAGATTTAGGAATTTATCACTAAAAGTAAAACAAATATATTTCTTCAATGTCTTCCAGCAGCAAGGCAACTTCCTGGAGAAATGTCTTCTTGAGGAAGTGATACTTAGAGTAGACTACAATTTGAGAAGTAGTTGTGGCATTTTAAAAAAAGTAGCATATAATAGTCCCATGATTTAGCTTTTCTTCTCAGGGTGTCCTTTATTTAGGTTGTGGCCAAAGAATTACTTGTTTCAGGTATTATTTACATATATTGTTTATTAGACAAAACCTTCACCATGATTCTTAATAACAAAACTAATATATTGTGTGTATTTGCAGTAATTAGTGCCCCTCCCCTTTTGTTTGGGAGGAATTGAAATGATATAACCCCTCCTCCTCCCAGTTCTGACAGGGCCCTGCAACTGATATAAAATACTTAAAAAAGTTAAAGCAGACATTTCAGACTGGTGATCATGGCTGGACTTCCCACGAAGCGTATAAAACATAAATTTCCAAACCTCCATCCAGAAACTCTGGAATTGTATAATGTCCTTCCGCTAAAATGACGATAAAAAGATTGCACAACCTTTTCTATCATAACTTACATGTTATTATCTGAATAAGTGTACCTCTTTAAGCCAATTTCTACCTGCCCTGGGTGGTAATTTTGGCGAATACTGTAATTTAACTTTGTCTACTATAAAATCCTGGCATGTCATTTTCTTTTCACAAACACCATAACTTATACATGTACTACCTTCCTGTTGACAAACACCATAACTTATACATGTACTACCTTTCTGTTGACAAACACCATAACTTATACATGTACTACCTTTCTGTTGACAAACACCATAACTCAAACATGTACTACCTTCCTGTTGACAAACACCATAACTTATACATGTACTACCTTTCTGTTGACATGTATACATATCAAACTTAAAACATGAATTGATGACTCATTTGTTAAGGTTGTGCTGTAAATTTGAATTTTAAGTAATTCTTCACTGGAAGTAGATGCATATTTTGTCCAACATTGTGAAATGTTTGATGAAAATTCTATGAAGATATTTCTTTTGAGAATGAAAAATTGAAAGGAATGAAACAAAACTATCCTTAGAGAAATACTTTTTCCCTTAAAATCGTTAGAAATATAATATTGATGCAGTCTAAGTGCTATGCATTATATAATTATAGGATATAATGAGAGATGTTCTTCCATACTTTTATAAAATCACCTTATCAACCATAAAAATGAGGTAAAATGTTTAACATGGTGTAAATGTCATATACTTAAAAGATATTAAATGAAAAGAAAAATCCAACATGGAGCAGATACATATTTGAAAAGCACAATGTAAACGCGTTACATGTAGGTGAGGTGAACATATATCTGTTCACGGTAATATTGTGTTTATAATGTATTCAAGTCTGTGTTCCAATTATATCAAGTAGTCCTAAACCAGATAAAAGTCAGTTACAACCTAGGCCTACTGATGTATAATGTCCTATTGTCTAGTCACCAACAATCTTGATGATTCAGGGTTACTAGTCCAATTATATTTCTCCGAAAGCACATCTTAAATTACTATTCTTACATATCTTTTCAGTACTTTTTAATTAATTAATATTTCATATTATCACTGGCACAAGTTGTCGTCTTAAAAATGAGAAAATTGTTTTAAAATATCACGTCTTGATTTACTTGGAAATATCAGTGTTCACTGTGAACAATTGTTACACCAACAATTACAACATTGAGATAAGAATGGTTGTGTAGTTGTAGTCATGAATGACA